GGATGTCCATATTTGGGTTGTGCCTCTCAGACAACCCAAAATAAGTCTACCGTATAGGTACTCTGTTGAAGGCTGATTTTAGATTTCGTACTATCCATTTTAGGTTTGGATGCCCATATTAATTCCTCGTTGGAGAGAGTCTCAGCAGTAGGGGAGTAAGCTAAGGGGTCCCTATAATGATGGCCTGGACACGCGAAAATGCGAATGCGAGACACGGACACGGACGTCTCACCCCATGTTGTGTCCAAAACTGCTGATACATACCTGTGTGTCTCGTGCCCATCATGACAACGTCGTCGTGACTCACACAGACGTCAGGCTGATGATAGACGCCAACTAGGTTCGGAGTAGGCGAGAGCTTTAGCTGATAAGAACACGTATACCCCGTACTGATCCGGAATTCCGTCTCATCTTCGCGCTCGATGAAAGAAAGCTTCCCGCTGCAGTTTGCCAACTGCTTGTTAAAATTTGTTTGTCACGGTCGTCCGATCCTGACGGCAGCATCACCTCCAGGCATGCCTGTCAATGTCATCGTCTTCAATTCTTCTCGGCTAACTACGTAAGTACATATATAGCGTCTGAAACTCCAGATCAACCAAGAAAAAAAAACTCAGGCCTCGTTCACTTTACAAAAAAAAAAAATGAACCCGATAAATAGTACCACTTTCGTCTTATTTAGTAAATATTGTCCAACTGTGGATCAACTAGGCTCAAAAGATTCATCTCGTGATTTCTAACTAAACTGTGTAATTAGTTATTTTTTTACCTACATTTAATACTCCATACAAACGGCTAAAAATTGATGTGATGAAGAGAGAGTAAAAAAATTAAAATTTGGATCCATCTAAACAAGGCGTGAGTCAGTCAAAACGACTTGCTACATAAAGAAATGGGATTGTGTGCACTGACCATGTGGTGATATTTTACGCATTTCGATCACCAAAATATCTTACTTTTCGTGGCCAACTGCGCGTAGAATACTGCAAGTTGATTAGAAGCTTTCGGAAGGACCCACAGTCCACAGACACTAATCAATCTATGGGCGGGGCCGTTCGTTGGGTGGCCACAGGGGGGGAGCAACTCGAGTGAGATACTTCACCTGCGGCTAATCTGCGCTTTTTATTTATCTATGATAACGATGCCCTGGATTACCCGGCGATTAGCAGCTGTTCCATGTGAAAAGGATGGCACCGCCGGCGCCTGGACTGCTGCCTCTGCCTGCTGGGCACATGCCAATTGGCGTAGCGAATCCATCCATCCAGGAAACCCCCACGAAGCTGGTGATCATCGACTTGGGAAGCTAGCTGCCGCTGCCGGCGCGTGTGATTGTGATCTCACTTGTACGTCAGGCTACCATCACCAGCCCGGTCGATTTTTTTTTTATTTTTAACACTTTCTGTAAACTAATTTTAAATCTAACACTATTTTTTTTCCAAAACTAACACTTTTGCCCGCGCCTATTTTCCTGGCACGGCGAAACGTCTGTGCCGCACCATGCATGGTGGCGCGACGAGATCGATGACGTGACGACGACCGGGCGCTGACCGGTGACGTGGCCGGGGCTGCCGCGCCACCGATCTAGGCGCGGCACTGATGCGCCACAGAACATGGCGCGTCAAGGCCAGGCCGGACCCACACTCAGCTGTTCATTCTCTTTCCTCTGCATACGACTACGACTCTACCGCTCTGCGAGTCGCCAGCGGGCGGCGGGTAGTCAGGCAGGTAGGCACGGCCGCACGTGAACGAGTGAGACTGAACGTGAATACGTGATCCGCATAGGTACGAATGGCCTTAAAACATGCACCAGCTATGACTGCTACCAGCTAGTTGAGTCAAGTCTATTCATGCAAAAGGATTAGCGTCCTGTAGATGAGATGACTATTCTAGCAAGGTGCAGATGTGTAGCACCCCACCAGTGTATGGATGTGCATGCTCTAGATAAATTTAGTAAATGAATTTTGATTAATTTATATAACTAGTATGAATCAACAGCCCTAATTCTCGACGACATCACTGTTAATAGTAAAAGATGACGTGTATAAAGAAAATGGTAACTAATCAGGTAAGTGATATTTAATAGAGTAATATTAATTGTCTCATGCATGGTATATATAACGTGAATGGTGCCTAATTAACGTAGTTCTTGTCATCTGGTGTTGAGTAGTAGTAAACCAAAGAGTAGAACATGTCACATCCCTAATTTGCTTGAACGGTTATCTCTCTATATGCATTAACAGTTAGTGCAACATGAACAACTATCTATACGTGCATGAACAGCTAGTTGAACCTAGGGTGACAAGCTAGTATGAGAGCTACAAGTACCAGCAGGTGGGACATTACCTGCTCCTATCAGTCGTCCGGCTTTTACTTCAGCAAGCCCCAAGAACGAGTACACTATTGCTCAATGTGTGTGTTGCGGGTCCAATCAATGTGTATGTGTGCTGGTTCGCTTGAGATGATTGAGCAAGATTATTTTAAGACCATGGAACACTCAAATTTTATAACCACAGGGTTAAGATCTAATGATCAGAATTAATTCAAAGATAGAACATATAAAATACTATACCATGACTGATAAGTTTAAGCAAACAACGCGGTCACGATGGATCACTGATAGCATTTGCCCGATGAGACGACGACAACGACGGTGATCGACAGCGGCACCAGAAAAATTAGAGAGTTTCAGATGTTGAAACCAAACTTCATTACCAGATAGCAACGAAATTAGAGAGTTTCATATGTTCGCAACATCCACCGCATATATGCCACAAAACTTTCACACTCCTGAACAGAGTTCAGAAAAGCTGGAGAAATTTCAGCCTACCTCCCACCAGAAAAACGACCAGCTATTGAACTTTAACAGAAATCTGGTGCATATATAGAAGTTATCATACTTAAGTAGGTACAACAAGATTTTTTTAAGGATAAGCATAAGCAGATCACAACATTATTGTTCATAGTAATTACACCAGTCAATAAGCACACGCTCGGTGATCATAAACCAATTGACGGTGTCAAGGACTAAATAAGATAAACCTAATAGCCATAGCTAGTCCTCCTCATCATCCTGATGAACTCCTCAAAGTCTATCTCACCGTCACATGTGACAAACCAGAAATCAAGATAAATTATAGCTAGTATCTTAAAAATAAGGGTCTTTCTAGTTTGCATAAACAAAGAAAGATGGCAGAGCACAACTAACCATTTCTGTCCGTCTCTTGCACCATGCCTAATTTGCTGCATTATCCAGAAGATGAATAGTGTTATTTCAAGGAACTTTCCAAAGCACATGCATGTGGTTCCATACTTGCATGGGCTCAAACACAGAAAAGAAAATATGAAATAATATTGTGGCTCTTATTTTCGCGAGGGGCATAATATATCATGGACAGGATGAACCGATGAACTCATCTCATCAACAAGCTAACTTCTTAAGAAATATGAAAGATAGGGACACTAAAAGATATGCTCAAAAGGAAACAATCACTGCAACAGGAACAGAAGGAAATGCTCAGCGCAACAATATCAGCAGGAACTCTCTCACTACTTAACATTGCGCTTATTCTAGGACTGCTTATGCAAGATTACAATATCAATTCACATAACATAAATGGAAGAGCTATAGCATTCTTTGCCGTAGAACTGTCGAGGAGCAAGACAACTACAACGCACTTTCTAGAGAATGTTGTCTTACCTCATGGCAACATTCAGCTCTTTTGCATAAATGGTTCCTGTGAGATAAGTTTGCTAGTAAGATATCAACAATTCCAACACCAGGAAAGTAATTGCGTCTTTTCCTGCCGCGGTGTCGGAGTGGAAAGCCGAGCAGCCCTCCGCTGCCAGACTCTGAAAAGGCGCTGTCGCTTCTATGCACGCACGACACAGGGGAGGCCGGGACCCTACCTCCCGCGAAGACCTGCTGCACCGCCCGCGAATTAATAAGCGGATTGTCGCGCCATGCGCCGTGGCGCGTCAGTGCCGCACCCAGATCCGCGGCGCGGCAGCTCCGTCCACGTCACCAGTCAGCGGCCTTGGTCGCTGCCACATAAGCACCCCTGCCGTGCGAATAGGCAAGGCCAAAAGTGTTAGATTTGAAAAAATATATTAAACCGTGTCAGTTTTAAAAATAGTTTTAAAAAGTGTTAAAAAAATCGGCCGGTCGGTTGTGTCAAGCCGTGTGTGTGAAACCCCTGTCTGTCAGTAAAGAATCAGAAGATTCTTCAGAGCCATGAGATGAGGCAGCCGCTCGCTCCGGTGATCTGGTCATGGAAGCGTTCCTTGGAATGGAAGAACAAAAATCCCCAGGCAGGCAATGATCGCGCTCCCTGCCTGCCCTGGCGCGGCGGGCGCCCGTCCAAGTTACGGTTCGGTTCCACTACATACACGATCAGTCTGGTCCACAATTTCCGATCCAGTAAAAAAGTTTTTCCTACTACTACAGCAGGAGTACCTTCCAGTAATAATCCTCCAAAGTCCACAAGGGCTAGTACGTGAGACCATCAACGTGGCGCTTTAACAGCGAGGAGTTAGCCTGGACCGATCACCACCGCGCCCGCTTGCTGATTGCTGATGCGACGCTGTCACAAGGCGCGCGTATGCAATTGCAACCGGACCGACGGGGGCATTGCGTGCGCCTGGCGTCAGCGTGACCAGCGAAGCGAGACGACGACCAAGAGGAGGACTTGGGGAGATGCGCCCACGCCGGCCTCACGGCGGGCGTCGTCATGTTTTATATATTCTCGCGCACAGGACAGGAGAGCGGCCAGGAAAACGAGGGAGGAGGCCAGGAGGGCGAGAACAGCTGTCGCTTTTGACCTAGGGGGCGTAGCGGAATCAAGGCGGATTCGCGCGCGCCTCCCCTGCTACGAGTGCTCCTATATAACAGACCGCAAAGGCAACGGCGAAGCCATCGTCGTCGTACTTGCGCACAAGAACACGGGTCCGGTCGGCTGCTGGCGGTTGGAGAAGCAGAGCAGAGGAGGTTGGAGCTAGCGGCGGCAATGGAGAAGCCCCGGCAGGTGGTGCGGAAGTTCCTGGCCCGGCCGCAGCACGAGGGCGCGGGCGCCGTCGTCCGCCGCAGCATCGGGAGGTAGGTCTCATTCATCTTCATCAGATGATATAAGCATTTAGGATTAGGCTGCATGCCATGGATTGGAGAGGAGCTGGCATTTCTTGGTTTGGTTTGCTGATTGGGATGGATGGAATTCGGTCCGCGCAGGTTCGAGCTGAGGTACTTCGATCCGTTCCTTGTCCTCGACGAGTTCTCCGGTGAGCTCCCATCCATTCGGCCCTTTATTTCTCTTTCTGAACGATCGATCGTCATCTTTGTATGCCCCCATTTCGACTGAACTAACCGGTTCCCTGCCCGAATTCCGCGCAGTTTCTGCTCCGGCCGGGTTCCCCGACCACCCACACCGAGGCTTCGAGACCGTCACCTACATGCTTGAGGTATGCTCATCTTCGACTCCGCCATTTTAGTCTGTTCTTCCGTTTTAGTCAGAGCAAGCATGAACGAGCGGCCATGCACGTCGCCTTGCATCCTCTCTGGCGGATTCAAACGCAAAAGGCATTCCTTGCTTGATTCATCCCTAACGACTCAATGAGCCGTAAAGACGGCAGCGTTGTTGGCAACCAAGCGGGCGTTAGGAAACGAACCGCGTGGTGCCGTTTGTCAACAGCGCCAAATGATGATGATATCTCAGCGGTTGGTTGCTCTGAAAGTTTCTTCCCCTGCACTCGAAGAATCCGTCCCGACGGGCCCGGTTTCGGTAGCCTCCCCACTTCCCCTCGATGCTGCCCGTCAACCACCACCCGCGTTGCGATACTTTTCCGCGCTTAAGGGATGAGCATGGCACCAGAAAGCCATTAGCCCATTACCGAAAGAATATAGTGTCATCGTCCCCGTAAACAATTTGTGTGTGTTTGGTCTTTAAAAAACTTGTGAAAGGGTCATAATCAGTTGGTACCGGTAGTTCTGACTTCTTATTATAAGAAAGTAATGAGCTTGTGTAAAAAGAATCAGGGTCACAGTCCAGTTCTGAGTTCTGACTTCCTCCCCCTTGGGTGGGCATGGAACGCTGTTTCAGGGCGCCGTGACGCACGAGGACTTCGAGGGCCACCGTGGCACCATCAAGGCCGGCGACGTGCAGTGGATGACGGCCGGCCGCGGCATCGTGCACTCCGAGATGCCCGCCGGCCCCGGCACGTCCAGGGGCCTGCAGCTCTGGGTCAACCTCTACTCCGGCAACAAAATGTACGTGACCCTTTCCTCTTTGACTCGACGCTCGACACGGCGCAGAGCCAAGTGTCAATTCCGTCGTGATCGTGTTGTCAACTCACTGTAAGTTGGATGAGCTTTGGTGACTGACATTGGAAAACGACGCCCGTGCCTGCGTGCAGGATCGAGCCCGGGTACCAGGAGATCCAGAGCAAGGACATCGCGTGCACGTCCGCGGACGGCGTCACGGTGCGCGTGATCGCCGGCCACGCGATGGGCGTCCGGTCGCCGGTGTGCACGCGGACGCCGACCATGTACCTGGACTTCACGGTCCGCCCGCGAGGCGTGGTGCGGCAGCCCGTGCTCGCGTCGTGGAACGCCTTCGCCTACGTGCTGGAGGGCGAGGGCGTGTTCGGGGCCGAGCGGTGCGCGCCCGTCGGCGCCCACCACCTGCTGCTGCTCGGCCAGGGCGACGGCCTCGAGGTGTGGAACAAGTCCGACGACAGGCCGCTCCGCTTCCTGCTCATCGGCGGCGAGCCCATCGGGGAGCCCGTCGCGCAGCTGGGCCCGTTCGTCATGAACACCGAGGAGGAGATCGACATGACCGTCAACGACTTCGAGTGCTACGCCAATGGGTTTGAGAAGGCCAGGCACTGGAAATCGCAGGCGATGGTAGCGCTTGGCGTAGAGTAGGGTGAAACAAGAGCACAGGATGAAGAAAGAAAATGAATAGATTATTTTCGGTTCTTTATCCCGTTATTATCGTTCTAGTTTGTTGCATTCAATTTTCCCCCCTAACATGGGTCGCTTTGTGTACATATCTGTCATAAATAAATTTTTATCAATAATAATGAAATCACCAAATGTTCATAAAAGTGTCTTGAAAACAAAACGAATCCCAATAAAATGTTGGCCCTTGGGAACATCAACAAGCAAGAGTATATGAGGAGTATAGATGGCCAACGGGCGGCCGGCCCGGCCGGCACGGGCCCGTGGAAAGCACGGCCCGATAGGGGTCGGGCCGGAACGGCACGCCGGCCCCCCCCGGGTCGTGCCTCTTAGGGCCATGGGCCTGGCCTTCGGCCCATGCATGGCCTGCCGGGCCGTTTCTCGTGCCGGGCTGGCCCAAAAAGCACGCCACGGCTAACGGGCCGTGCCAGCCCAAGGCCCACTGAGAGAGAGAGAGGTGTGGAAGGGCAGACAGGGGCAGCTGCGCCTGCGCAAGCCGCGCAACGGCGCGCTTGCACCGACATGCCGCAACAAGATGAGGCCGCGCGGGGGTTGGGGCGTGGAGGAGGCGCTCGACGCTGCTGCACTCGAAGCCGGCCGCCGCTGCTTGATGCCGCCATGGAGGATCTGCGGAGGTTCGCGACTTCGCGAGCGTGACCGCGAGATCCGAGAAGGAGGAGCTAAGTGCGGCCGCATGGGGGGACGGAGCAGGGTCAGCGGTGCTGGGGCGTGGAGGAGGAGGACAGGAGGCGTCGGGAGGAGGCGAGCGGATCGGGAGCTAGCGCCGAGTGGTGCGGTCCCGGTCGATGGAGCTGGAGGAGGGGCAGCAGGGGGCGAGGGGTAGCACGGGAGCGCGGTGGCGCAGAGAGGAGTGGAGTGAAGGCTGGCGAGCAGGCTGGGGGGAGGGACTCTGGGGGCGGCGGGGAGGGGGAGGGGAAGGGAGTTAGGGTTCGGGACCGCATGGGGCTGTGCTAGGAGGGGGAGGGGGAGGGGAATCGGGGGTGGGAACTAGGAGCGTGGGGCTGCACGGGGGAGGAGGCTGCGGCTGCGGTAGACGAGCAGGCCGGGCCGCCAACGTGCCTCCGGTTCTGTAGCGGGTCGTGCTGTGCCGGCCCACGCACGACCTGCTCCTCTGGGCCGTGCCAGCCCGAGCCCGCTGGCCGCCGGGTCGGGCCGTGCTTGGGCCGAGCAAAAAAAACGGGCCTTGGGCGGGCCGATGGGCTCGGGCTGCATGGCCAACTATGATGAGGAGAAGTAGACCGTGTTGACCAAGTCAAGATGGTGGCAGACCAAGTCAAGTGAAGGTTGGAGGACTTGGTGATCGGGTGGTCGAGGACGATGGTGACACGTGTTGAGAATGTGGAGGAGCCGTAGCAGATACGCTTTTCTAGGCGATTTGGTGCTTTGGGCCTCAAAACCACCGGGGGCGGTTTTCGGGTTTGGTCCTCAAAACCGGTTGGAGTTCCGGCGGGAGCGGGAGGAGGCACGTTGCTTCATCGCGAAACTTGCGACGAGGCAAAGCAAAGTCGTGAAGAGCCTGTGGCCATCGGATGCTTGGATCTCAAGTTAGGGGTTAAGTGGTTCATCCAAAATATCTAAGGGTATGTTAGGGGTTGTGTAATAGCTCTACAAATAAGAGGATGATTGCTCCTAACGAGCCTATCTTTTCAGCTTTCATTCTTAGTCTAAGACACCGGTAGTAGTTTAAGTTGTTTCTTAATTTCCTGCTGTTGAGATCCGCATATGAAGTGATTAATAACATTGTCCGTGTTAATCTTTCATGTATAAAGAACCAGACTTGGTAGATCTCGGAAATAAAGCAATCATATTCTCTGAGATCTGAGTCTTTGTTCTGAGATAATTTGAATTTGGTTTGTCCCCTCTCTCTCTCTCTCCTCCTCCTTTTGTGGGTTTCTGAGTTCAGGAATTTGGGAATTATTTTGAGTGCTCAGATTCATAAGGACTTATGGTGAAGCTATCTCCCAAGTGGTTTGAGCAGAAAGACCACGAGCACGAATCTACGCTCTTGAGAGGAAATTTGAGAAAACCCCATTTCCTTCAATGGATTTTTATATCTGTGGATTTTGGAGTTGTTTTAGGGGTTGATGTTCTGACGATATCCTCCCAACATCCCTAGAAACACTTGTGCAAAGTTTGAGATCAATTCGACTCCGTTTGATCAAGATTTGGCTTTTGGAGGGGTAGATTCGTGTTGAAAACCGCAAGAACCAGCTAAGCCGACTTGCAAAGTTGAGATGATTTTTGGTGGAGGCAATCTTTGTAATGGTGTGAACCTCTCCACAAAATTTCATAGCTTTTGTTTTGCGAGCTGCATGGTGATTATGAGGAGTTGGCTAAGCCGACTTTGGAGGCTGTGTAATGGTTCGTTTCGTGTTTTGTGAGTTTCTTTGCTCCGTTTTGTGTCCCGTTTGTTCCATGGGTTTCAAGGCGTGTCAAGAAGGTTTCTCAACTCTCTACTCACCCGTTGGCTTTGAGAGTTTTGAGTCGGACTCTTGCTTCATTGTGGCATCACTATTGAGTGGTTTGGTGTTTCCGAGGATGATTTTGGGATCGTGGCTATTTCGGAAGAAATTTTGAATTCGCTCCCATTCACCCTTTCTCTGGTCGTCTTTCTCGGTCCCTTGGCACCGGTGAGGCAAGGCTCGTCGTGCTTCTCTCCCCTGCGGTGAGAAGCAAGGAGGCCAGGTGGGCACGCCGCACGCCGCAGGCAGTGCGGCGACGACAGGACGTCAGGGCGAGGGCAGCGAAGACCACCTGGCCCGGTCCCATGTCTGCTGGGTTAATAGGTTATATTATGGTGTTTAGAGATCATTTGGTTTCACACAAGTGACTGACATTTTTTTTCTATAAATGTTATAATTTTGTCTTTGATAGACCTAGCTAAAGCGATGTCAGCTAATTTATATTGCAGGCAATAATAATTTTTTTTGGCTTGGTTTCCATATGCTTCGTTTTTTTATAACAATATGCTTCGTTATTAAGACGCAAACCAAACAGGGGCAGCACTGTTTTTCATTTCAGTTTCCCCACACAAGTACAACATGCAGCTAGTGATCCGTAGCTGGCCGGGTAGCACACACATTCGCTTCAAGGTTCAAGCTCTTGTTATTTTCGCCCAGTCGATTTACTCTTTGACGAAATACTCCTGCTTCGTAGTCGCTGCCTTGCGAAATTCAGATCCTATACATGAATGATCAATACATATCAGTTAATCGTCAACCTATTAGTATTAGGCATTAGCCATGTGTATATATGTCAAATAGTCTGTTGTGATGAGTAGTGACGTGAGGTTGCATTATTGTAGGAGTACACTATTAATTTCAGCTATATATAGACGCAAGCAATATAATGCGACGTACCGGTGATACTCGACCTTGATCTTGCCGGCGTCCCGGTTGGCGATGATGGCGAAGGCCTCCTGCGAGAGGTCGATGGTGCCCTGGCAAGCGGGAGAGGGGCAGAGGTCCACGATCTGGACGGTGACGCTCTTGCCGGTGCACGGGTGCGGCACGCCGTCGTTGGTGGCGCCCTTGCACTTGACCACGAACCGGTCGCCGCAGGCCTTGCCGCCGTTCCATAAGACTTCGCTCGCCGCCGCGATCATCGAGCCCTTGTCCTGGTTCCCGTAGCAAGCCGAAGCTGCATGCACGCACGCAAGCGATATGATCGAGTATGTTACAAGATTGAACTGACTGATCCATGAAGCAGCTTAATTAATTGGGATGTACTCCGTACGTATGTAGCTTGGGGTGTAGAAAGTCGCGAATCCTGTAGTCCCCGCGACCTGGGACACCATCGCAAGGACTAGCACCACAGCCAGAACAATGGAGGTTGCCTTTGGCATCGCCATTGCCATCACCGTCGTCCAGGAGCTAGGTCGCGTATATATGCTCGCGTACTCGATCTCACTCGCCCACGAGAGTCGAGAGGTGTGCGACGAAGCTATAACCGGGATCCACGGCGCGTTTTATAGGCAAGCTGCGGGGTCCCAAATGGGGCAAGCAACGCCCGGAAATCTTCAACGATCAGTCAGTCAGTTTAATCGATCTTGTTACTTTATGTAGAAAGAGCCAAGTCATGTCTCGCTAAGCTCCAAAGTACTGTATGGACATCCACATCGCACTACTTCATCACGATATGATCGAGGCATCCTTATCATCTAGTGGGCACTAAAATTAAGGCTATGAGAGTGAGTGAGGTCAGTTCCAACCCTCGGGATCGACACGGCCCGTTACTATCTCCCAAGGATGTTCTTCGGGCATGGTGCGCGCGACCGTAACACGTCGTCGTCACGGTCGGGCGGCTAGCTGTGGCTGATGCCCGGTGCCTGCTCGAGTCCTCGCATCCCTCGCCGGTTTGGCTTCTCAGGCGTCTGGAGAGTTCGTGCCGAGTCCTGCCGAGACTTCGGACAAAGCAGGGGCCATCGGACTCCAGTTCGCTGCTAAATGACCTCAGCTTACTTCCACGGCCAGCAGCCATCCCACCCAGCTAAGCATTTCAGCACCCTCATTGCGCTCTGCTGCTGGCAACTTTGGAAGCGTAGGAATGGAGTGGTTTTCAGAGCGGAGAATGCAAACAGATTCAAAACCACCATTGACAACTTGCAATTGGCGCCTTTGGAACTACACGGGCGATTATTTACATGGTGTAATGAGCAGCTAAATCCGACAATGACAAAGATTGACCACTTCCTAGCTAGCATCTGCGGAATGGCTCCAAATCTTACCAAGAACTGACTTGCAGGCACTAGCATCGTTGGGGTCGGACCACTGTCCGCTTTTCTTGCAAGGGCACACCGCATTCGACTTCTACCGAGGCTTCCGGTTTGAAGCTTATTGGGTCAATATACCAGGTTTTATTGTAGCGGTAAAGGGAGCTTGGGAACAACCTTAATACCCAAAACGCAATGTTACGGATGTACGTTAAATTGTGGCAGGTTGCGCGGGCACTTAAGATTTGGAGAAGGGCGCAATTCAGTGAATGGAGGCTCCAGTCAGTTCCAGTGGAAATTATTCTACATGAATTGGAAAAAAAGCACAAGAAAGGCGTAATCTCTTGGAAGATGAGATGCAATTCAAGAAATTCCTAAAAGCAAAATCACTAGGGCTGGCGGCAATACAAAAGGCAAAAGCCAGGCAACATTCCAGACTCACATGGATTCGAAAAGGAGACTCCAACACTGGACTTTTCCATATTTATGCTAGCGCCAGGACGAAGAAAACATATATAAATGCGCTGCTCAAGGATACTGGGATAGCAGTCTCCCAAGAAGATAAGATGAAGGTGGCGGTAGACTTTTTCAGTAAGGCAGTTGGAGCGAGAGCAAATAGAACTCGCAGGCTAGACTGGGAGGCCCTGGGCTATTCTCCTCATAACCTTGAAGATCTGGATATGCCATTCACCGATAATGAGCTGCTTCACATTATCAAGGAGTTACCGGCAGAAAAGGGCCTGGACCGGATGGTTATATTGGTTTGTTCTATAAAAAGTGTTGGGACATAATCAAGTGTGATCTGCTTGAGGCGATAATGGGCTTCTACAGTCACAAAACATCAAAAATGCATTTGTTCAATGAAGCCAACATTGTTCTGCTACCCAAAAAACAAGCGCCGACAATTATCTCTGATTACAGACCAATCAGCCTCATAAATAGCATCAACAAAGTGATTACAAAAATCCTTGTGACCCTTTTGGCTCTGCACATGAATGAATTAGTACTTTTAGAAATGCGGCAAGAGTTTTGCCGGATTTTTATTGGACGAGTAAAAAAAAAAAACCAAGATATACATTAAAAAAACAAGATAAACAATTACAGAGATCACTGAGGGAATAAGGGCCGTCATCACTGCAGCGTCCCCCCCAAAACCACCCCAACTCACTAAAAGAAAACAGCAACTCCAAAAAGAGCCCCCTGAAAAACAACTAAACAGGGACAACGAAAGGGAAAAAACTAAACATCTAAACTTGCCCCGCATTAGATCTCGTTGCCAACAGGTATGGCTGTATATCCTCCTTGCATAGAAGAGCCACTTGTCTTAGCTGTAACGATTTGCTTTGAATGAATGAATTAGTATCGCAGGCACAAAATGCATTTATGAAGCGGAGATACATTCATGATAATTTTCTGTATGTCCAAAGGGCAATACAATTGCTTCACAAGAAAAAACAACTGTCGTTTTTCATCAAATTGGACATCTCCAAGGCATTTGATTCGGTAGGTTGGCACTACCTACTGGAAGTTTTAGAAGCTCTGGGATTTAGTACCAGATGGCGTGACTGGATATCCGATCTGTTTATATCATCCTCTTCCAAAATCTTGATAAATGGCGCACCAAGTCAAAGAATACCACATGCTAGAGGTCTCAGACAAGGCCACCTGCTGTCACCACTACTATTTATCCTAGCCATCGATCCATTGCAAAGAATCATTGAACGTGCGGCACAAAATGGTTTATTTCAGCCTGTTCTTCCAAAAGTGGCAAACCTAAGATGTTCTCTTTACGCTGATGATGCGGCACTCTTTGCAAAACCCTCTTCCCATGAATTGTCAAATTTACAGAAAATCCTATAGTTCTTCGGGGATTACTCTGGCCTGCAAGTAAACATGAGCAAAACTGAAATTTTCCCTATAAGTTTGCAGGCTTGCAGCCCAACCAAGTACAGAGTCTCATCCAAAACTTTCCTGGAAGAATACCTTCCTTCCCAGGCAATTAACTAGGCTTGCCGCTGCATACGAGAAAACTATGGAAAATTGAGGTCCAACCATTGATGGACAAAATAGGTGCAAGGTTGCAGAGGTGGAAAGGGAAAATTTTCTCATCTTCCGGGAGGGAAGTTTTAGTCAAAACTGTGCTCTCGTCGCTACCGATTTATCACCTGACCATCTTCCAAACACAAAATTGGCTGCTGAAAGAGATTGCCAGATTCGTCGTAGCTTCCTGTGGCGAGGAGAGACACCGGATAAAGTTTGCGGAGGACATTCGCTCGTTAATTGGCCAATAACTTGCTCACCCAAAAATAAAGGAGGTCTAGGGTCCTAGACTTGGAGAGATTTACTAGAGCCCCCAGATTACGATGGTTATGGTATCAATGGAAACAACACGAACGGGCATGGAGCAATCTAGAAGTGCCTGCGATGCAGTGGACCGAGATCTTTTTGATACTTCAACGGTGGTGTCAATAGGTAATGGGAAGAAAGCTCTCTTCTCGACATCGAGCTGGTTAAATGGAACAGCGGCGAAGTCAATCGCGCCAAGTCTATATCGAAAGTCCAAAAGAAAGAAAGATCACAGTTCATCAGGGGCTGTCGAACCGTAAATGGATAGATCATATTTTCCCTCCGACATCAACTGAAGAAGTAAGAGAGTTTGTCAATCTCTGGGAGGCCATTTCGGCAGTACAAATCAATGATGCGATAGAAGATGAGTTAAACTGGAGGTGGACAACAGGGGGAATACTCTACAAAAAGCACTTACCTCATTCAGTTCACTGGAAGATTCCCCAAAATCAAAATCATGACCATTTGGAAGGCCAGAGCTGAACCCAAGTGCCGCTTCTTTGCATGGACCCTTCTGCATAAATGGATTCTCACGGTAAATAATCTGCTCAAAAGGGGATGGACTGATGAGACGAACCGCAGACTATGTGGAAATGATCTTGAAACACCTGTGCACTTATGCAAAGATTGCCTTTTCACTGAGGAAGTATGGGAGAACCTAAAGCAATGGCTTCAATTAACAGCGATTCAGTCGGTAAACACAGCTGGCTCTCTGCTCTCTTTCCGGTGGAGATGCAGACCCAAGTTTGATAAGAAGGAGAGGAGAAATGTGGATGGGATCTTCATCTATTTTTGGTGGAATATTTGGAAGGAGAGAAATAGGAGGCATTTCCAACACAAAGCTCTCAACCCAACTCAAGTGGATATCCTTTGCAAAGATGATATTTCGCAACATAGGCTTGCCATGGCGCCAAGGACAGCTGCTGCTGAAACTTAAGATCTTCAGAGTCGCCATGTTTCAGTTTTCTGCTTTTCTCTCTTGGCCGTGTTGCGTACCGGTTTTCAGTAGGTTTCCTTTCGTTTTGTGTTTCAGTAACTTAGCTCTGGGTTGTGGACTTGTGTTAGCTTTTTAGAACTTGTTTACGGTTTGTAAATACTTGTAAATCTCCTCTTTTTTTTCTTTTGTATCGTCTTATAAAATCTACGACAAAGCTTTTGCCATCCTTTCTATAAGAAATACAAACAATTGTGGCTTGTGTGCGAGACGTCGAGCTTGGGAAGGCACGACTACCAAACAAGGATGTAGCAAATTGATCAAATTTGGCTTGGGCCTAGTTTAGTTGGCGAATTTTTTTGGAAATGGTACTGTAGCATTTTCGTTGTTATTTGGCAATTAGTATTCAATCATAGTCTAATTAGGCTTAAAAGATTCATCTCGTGAATTTTGTCTAAACTGTATAATTAGTTTTATTTTTTATTTATATTTAATGCTTTATGCATGTGTCCAAAGATTTAATGTAAAGGAGAATCTTGAAAAATTTTGTAAAATTTTGGGAACTAAACAAGCGGTGTCTTTCGAAGTGTAATGTTATCAATCTATCTCTACTATACAAAGAAAAAAGTATAATTTGTAAAATCCAACGCCTTAAAGGCAGGTTATGATCAAAAAATTTCGGTGGGGATCCTCTACCTACCCCCCGGGCCCCGGTGACCTTTAAAAAACAGGTTTATGTGTTGCCTGCCTGATGGATGGACGAAAGTGAAGGCCAGGTCACACGTGGTTCAGAGCCCCTTGATCGTGAAGAGACCACTGTTTTTTTATTTCCAAAGTCCAGACACGTGAATAATGATGCACAAATACTGTCTCAACCTTACAAAAGCACACCCACACAATCTAATGATGGAACACCTTCTTTTCTGTGTCCGAACCACCTTACGAGCATTTCTGAGGCATTAAGTCAATATGGCAGGTGCCTCGTTATCAATGGTTATATATGTTACGGCTACCATAGAAAATAATTATTATCTGTAAATATGTGTGTGATGACTTTGTTAATCTCGGGATTTATTGGCTTAGTCTCTGTTTTTAAGAAATGCACATAAGAGGTGAATGCGTGTGCGTTTTATAGGGTTTTGGTAACTTCGTACGAGTGTGTACTGTGATTATTAAACAAACTATTTTTTTTCTAGAAAAAACATAACTTATATTTCTTCCGTTCTGATATCTGATTTGGGATGAAACCTTTGTGCTATTGGGCTCAAAGAAACCATGGTCAACTCTACTCTAGATGAGTTCAGATGGGCTTTGTTTGGTCCGTCCCCTTAGGCCCTCAAGAAACGCTTCCATGTAGGCCTTTCTCGAATCCCAATCAAGTCTATCAACTTGCTACTACTCCTGATAGGCCCCGTTGAGATTCGGCCTAGTTGTCCCAAACTCATGGAAGCAAGTTGTCAAAAATGAAAGTACGAAATAAATATGCTGACATTGAACTTGTACAACAAACGACTACTAAGGGCCTGTTTAGATTTCAAAAAATTTTACGCAGTACCCGTCACGTCGAATCTTGCGGCACATGCATGGAGTACTAAATGTAGACGAAAAAAAACTAATTACACAGTTGGGTGAGAAATCGCGAGACGAAACTTTTGAACATAATTAGTCCATAATTAGACACTAATTACTAAATACAAACGAAATGCTACAGTGAGCCAAAATCCAAAAAAATTTAGATCTAATCGGGGCCTAACACAAAGCTTATGCATTGACTGACGAACATGCTATCATTGAATATGGTGTCGTTGACTGACGAAGTAGCCCTAACCTGTATTGCTTGGCGTGCTTTCAGACTTTCGGTATCCTGTTTTTGTCCTTTGCTGCACGCCCTACTGATATGGCAAGGCAGCCACATTGGCCGGCGACGGCGCGGCGACCCCTGGACCTGACCAGAGGACAGAGGTTTGTGGCGCGAAGGCAGGACAGCAAAGCGCGCAACGACGACGAGGGCCACACGCCCACACCAAATCAGTGAAATCACCCGTCATCCGGAGGAAGACGAGAATAGTTCGGAACTTTCTCGCAGTACAATGCATGGCGTAAGCGCCAAGGATCGATCGATCGATCGATCAAAAAAAAAAACGGAACACTATTTGACGTCATGCAGTAGGCAAGCAACCATGTTGGATGGCCCGATTCAACAACTTGCTCGCGGAGTGTGCATGCACCTGCCATGTTACGGATTACCGGACAAAGTCAGGCCTTTAACGTGTAGGAGCAATCATACGCTGCCGAAGCGTCGATACGAGCATTTGATATTTCCAAGTCGGTATCCGTGCGCCGTGACGCAACACAATTCTCGGTGGCGATATCGATGGCGCCTGACGGCATGCATGTGCAACAAGAATATCTGAGCCACACAACTGGAGCTGGAAAATACGATTCCAAATTATCAGTCTCTTCGGTTGACTGGTTCGTTTCGTGGCTGGTTTGTGAAGAAGTATTGCTGGC